AGTCCTGCAAGTTTCATTCACAGTACGTGCTCTAGGCAAGCAGGGCACCATTTTTTAATTTTTTGTGTTTGTTTGTTTGTTTAAATAGAGTGGGAGGAAGAGAGAGAAACATCGACGTGAAAGGAACACATCGAGTGGTTGCCACCTGCACAGCCCAACCAGGGCTGGAAACACATTGCAACCGAGATACATGCCCCTAGCGGGAACCGAACCCGGGTCTCTCTGGACTGCAGGCCGACGCTCTAACCACTGAGCCAAACCGGCCAGGGCCATTTTTTAATCTTTTATATCATATTTTTACTGTAACTTTTCTGTGTTTAGGTACACCGATACTTACCATTGTATTATAATTGTCTACAGTATTCAGCACAGTAACATGCTGTGCAGGTTTATAGCCCAGGAGCAATAGGCTAGACAACACAGCCTGGATGTACAGTCGGCTATACTCTCTGGGTCTGTGTAAGTGCACTCTGGTGATCACACAATGAAGAAATTGCCTAATGACGCATTTCTCAGAATATATTCCCATTGTTAAGTGACAAATGACTGTAATGTATATAAACTAATCAATAAGGTATATTTTCAATGCCCCTGGATCTTACAGTCTAATGGAAAAGGCATATATATAAACATATATATAATTTGTAATAACTCATTCCTGGAACGCTAAAGAATGGCATCCAACACGACGGAAATGACTTAGGAAATCAGGTGAGACTTCTTGGAGTAGGTAGTATGTGAGGTAAATTTTATTTATTTATTTTTTCTTTATTGATTTTTTTTTTTTTTTTAGAGAGGGAGAGAGAGAGAGAGTGAAGCATCGATGAGTGAGAACATTGATTGGCTGCCTCCTGCATGCCCCCACTGGGGATTTGGCCCGTAACTTGGGCATGTGCCCTGACCAGGAATCGAACCAGCGACCTCTTGGTGGATGGGTCGATGTTCAACCACTGAGCCACACCAGCCAGGCTATGTAAGGTAAATTTTAAAGGAGTGACAGAAGCTAGCTGAGGGAAGGGTGGGAGTTTAGAGCAGGGGTAAGGGATAGAGAAAGTGTGACCCAAGTTCTCATGAGCATTTACGAGTATGAAGTTGTATATGTACCTTTTTTATAAGTATTTGTTCTGGAGTACTCCAGGCAATTGGGAACTACTAAAGATTTTAAGGAGTGGAGGGATGTGACACGTGGATTTGTATGTGAGAATGATCACCTTTTGGCATTTTGAAAAATGGATTTGAATGGCTGAGATAGGTGCAGGAAGACCAGTGAGGAGGCTCTTTGGCAATGATGCTGGCAGGTGAGAGAGAATGGGGGTCAGAGAGGGAAGTAGAAGAGACACATAAGAGATATGTAGGGTATAAAGTAAGCAGGGCTTGGTGATTGTTTGGGAGGAAAAAGAGCAGGAAGAGTCAAATTTAACACCCAGATAAGAGGTTAGGTGCCTGGCTGGGTGATGGGGGCTATAGGCAGGGGCTGAGCTAGGATGGGGGTGAGACAGTTGAGTGATAAATCAAAATCAAGACATTGCCCTGGCCAGTTTGGCTTAGCGGTTGGAGCATCGGCCTGCGGTACAGAGAGACCCGGGTTCGGTTCCCGCTAAGGGCACGTACCTCGGTTGCAGTTTGTCCCCGGCCCTGGTTGGTCGTGTGGGTGGCAGTCACTTGATGTGTCCCTTCACATCGATGTTTCTCTCTCTCTCTCTCTCTCTCTCTCTCTCTCTCTCTTTCCCTCCCTCTCTCTCTCTCTTCCTCTCTCTCCCTCCCGCTCTATCTGAACAAAAAATGGAAAAAAAAAATCAAGACATGAATGTCACACATTCTTGGGATATACAAGGGGAGATGTCCAACCAGCAGCTGATTCTGGAGTTCAGGAGAAAGGCTAGACCTGATCCTATTTGGTAGCCATGAGTATATTGGTAGTTATTTAAACAACAAAAAGGGGATTTGACACCAAGGGAGAACATGTAGATTAGCCAGAAAAGTAAGACAAAGCCCCAGCCTCAGGGGCCATGACATTCAGTGGTAACGTAATAATCGCAGTAACTTCCATGTAGTAAATGCTTACTATATTTTACATGGATTACTTCTAATCCTCACAGCAATGCTAAGGATATGATACCATTATGGTCCCCATTGTTACAGGAGAGGAAACAGAGCCAGAAAGCTCCATACCCACCAGCACACAGTGAGTGGAGGAGTTAGGAGGTCTGGCTTCACAGCCCAGACCTTTAGCTGCTGTGCCTAACCGCCTGCAGATAAACGCGAGAGAATATGGGGAACGAGAGCACCTCAGAACAGGAAGTGGTGTTCCCAGTAAGGCACTGTCAGTGATGTCAGCAGCCTGGGCAGTCCACTGAGAAAACCAGGAAAACAGTGTTCGACTTGGCAGAGCGACCTCCCTGGAGCGGTACAGTGCACTGCAGTAGTTCGGGGAGTGAATGAGGAGATGAGGGTGGAGACAGCGGGAGTGGACTGCTGTGAAAGTATGGTGAGAAAGAAGAGTCAGCAGTCATGCACGTCGGGTTTGTTTTTAATTGGGGAATCCAAGGATGCTTATGGTATGGGAAAGGTCGAGGTGAAGTTGATGTTGAGTGGGGGGAGAAAGCTCTAGGTAAAAGCATGTGCTTTCCCACTGTGTGCCACTGTCTCCTTGAAGCACTCCCATTCATTTCTGCCGTACCTCCACATGTCCTGGCTTTCTTTTCTTCTGCTTTGAGAAGGTAAATCCTCCTAAATTTCCTTTGGGAATTCTTGTTTCTCCATCCATCCTTGCAAGGATTCACGCTCAGCTCTCTCTGTACTATAACTGTCCAGGCAATCTCATTTGTCTGTATTGAAAAATCCCGAATCAATACCCCAGCCGAAAATCTTAACCATGCAACTCTCTCAATCTAATTTAATCTCCCAACATTTTTTTTATTTTTTATTCCTTACCCGAGGACATTTTTCCATTGATTTTTTTTGTAGACAGAGTAGGAGGGAGGGGGGGGGGAGAGAGAGAGAGAGAGAGAAACATTGATGTGAGAGAGACACATTAATTGGCTGCCTCCCACACAATCCTGACTGGAGCTGGGGATCAAACCTGGAGCCCAAGTACGAGCCCTTGACTGGGAATCGAACCCATGGCTCTTTGGTCCATGAGCTGACGCTCTAACCACTGAGCCAAACTTGCCAGGGATTCCCAACATCTTTCATATGGTTTTCAGTTGCCTCATTCATACCCAGTGTTTAATTTGAGATTGATTTGGGATTGCTTCAATTATGAATACTTTCCCTACACCTCCGCCCCAACACACCCACACTCGTTTTGTCCTAGTGGTTTTGGCTTTGATGTCATCTCTGCTAAAACCTTTCCGCAGCTCTTCGAGACTCCCATAGCTCAGCTGTTCCCTGTCAGAGCACTCACTCCAGTTCACTGTAGCTGCCATGGCCACATTCGTCATCCTTCCCTGAGCGCAAACCCTGGAGGGCAGGGTTCATACCGTAATCACAATGGTGTCCTCTTCCTTTAATGAGAAAAGGAGACTCCTGGATATAGAGTCAAAAGCACATGTAAGGGGTTGATGCCTTGAAAAGGAGAAAAGTACACATTATTCTCTGAACAGGACTGAAAGAGGCAGGAATAGATGCTGATCTATACATAGTTATAGGTTACACGGGCAGTTGAAGAGGGTTAGGGACACAATTGTCATATTAGAGTAGAAGGTAAGATAGTGTACTAAAACTAAAGATGAGGGGCTTAGGTTTGGGATTTGAACAGTCATTCAGAAATCACTAGGCTGAAGAGCCAGGGGAGGGAGATGACCAAGAAGAGAGCATCCCATTTAGGGCTGAAGTACACTGTGGGCTCTTGCTAATTAATTTCTAACCCACTCTCAAACCACTCCAGATTGGGGTGTCTTTAACAGACACCTCATTTTAGATGTCTTTATCATTCACTGCAGTGATGTGCTTCTTCAGGATGTTTAGGTCTAAAAACCGGTGTTTTTACCAGTAAGTTACTTCATTGGCCTGTCATAAAAATAGTGGAATATAAAAACAAAATCCTCATGTGGGAACTAAAAGATATGTTGCATGTATCCCTACTTACTTAATTTTATGTTTCCCAAATCTATACATGTGAAAAAAGTATAACGCTTGTGCTTTATTTTCTTAGAGTGAAAATGCCCATACTTATTTCAATAACAAAATGGAAATATGCTTATTTGAAAGTTTGGTTATGAGCATGGCCAAGTTGTGAACTTAAAAATTCATTTCGTACGTTGGCAGATTCTGATAAAATAATGGTAAATTTTCAACATAAGAATTTTCTAAGCACTACTTTTACCAAACATTTTTTTTTTTTTTAGATGTATGCACTCAGAGCACAGTGCTTTACATCAACCATGGGGAGATGAGATACACATGCACATTTGGTTATCACATACATATATCTACGAATAAGTGGGACCCCATTTTTTTTTATAAGAGGTGGTCACATCTTTGTGAAATGGGAATTTGGGTCTGTAATGGCACTAGTAGGTAAAATATCCAAAACTGAGCTGATAGAATGAAAGAGTAGTTGAGAAACACCTGCATGTCTTTTCTTTGGGAAGAGTCATCAGGTACTAAACTCAGGTGGAACAAAAGTAGTCCTGAGTGTTCCAGTGGATGGACAAGATCCAGGCAGTTGGAGTTGTCTAGTGTATCCTTTCCCATTCAGAACATGCTCCTGTTACTGTAAATGCACTACCTTTATAAGACAGCCACACACATTTTTTCAAAGGTTATCACTAAAGATGGCTGCAATTTATATTGTGAATATATAGCCTTCTCTGGAAAGAAGCATCTGTTATTAAAACAGCCAATTATTGCCCAGCCAGTACAGCTCAGTGGATTGAGCTTTGACCCATGGACAGAGAGGTCCTGGTTCAATTCCCGGTCAGGGCATATGCCCGGGTTGCAGATTCGATCCCCAGTAGGGAATCTTTCCCTTCCTCTCTCTCTAAAAAATTAATAAAAACATATTTAAAAAAAAAAATAGCCCAGTATTACTCCAGCAGAAGACACTGACTGCTACCTCTAAATTCCTTGTACTAGACGTAGTCCATGAGTTATTTTATTAATAATAAATATAGTTTATAACATCCTATGCTTCAGCTGATTTCTCAGATAAGGACTGGAGCAAATCTTTATAGACAGCAGAATTCATGAATCGGGGATATGAGTCTCTGTGCATTAAGGTGTAAATCTGAAGTTGTGCGTCATCGAATATGTGTTGGGATGGCTCCACCATGTTCCTGTTGATGACTTCTCTTACTCGGGAGTCTAAGCTGACCTGTCAATAGAAACAAATTTAAGAGTTGTATTAGACATGTTTCTCTTTGAAAATCCATTTCAAACTCCCAGAGTTTGTTCTGGTTTTCAATAATCCCAAACCAACCAAGGTCATCCAAAAATCTAACCTGCCGAAAGAGAAACTGAATGCATAATGAACAGGGGTTCTCAAACTTCAGTGGCATAGAAGCTTCTAGAAAACTCCTTGAGCAGATTCCGGATACCACTGGAAGAGTATGTCTGGGGTAGGGCTTGATAACATATCTCTCAGATTCCAGGTCACACTGGTGGGGATCACACTGCTTTAGAAAACCACAACACTGTTTTGCTTATTTAAAATGAATGTTCTATAGGACATTCTCAAAAATAGACCACATATTAGGGCACAAACTAAGTCTTTACAACTTGAAGAAGATTGAAATCATATCAAACATCTCAGATCACAATGGCATGAAACTAGAAATCAATTGCAACGAGAACATGCAAAGACACTTGAAAACATGGAGGCTAAATAGTATGTTATTGAACAATAAATGGGTTACCATGCAGATAGAGGAAGAAATTAAAAACTTCCTGGAAACCAATGAAAATGAAGACACAACAACACAAAATCTATGGGATGCAGTGAAAGCAGTTCTGAGAAGGAAGTTCATAGCACTACAGGCCTACCTCAAGAAGCAAGAAAAATTTCTAATAGACTATCTAACCTCACAACTTAAAGAACTAGAAAGCAAACAAAAAGAAAACCCCAGAGCAAGCAGAAGGAAGGAAATAATAAAGATCAGAGCAGAAATAAATGACATGGAGTCAAAAAAAGAAAAGAAAAAACAATTCAAAGGATCAATGAAACAAAGAGCTGGTTCTTTGAAAAGATAAACAAGATTGATGGACCCTTAGCTAGACTCACCAAGAAACAAAGAGAGAGAACCCAAATACACAAAATCAGAAATGAAAGAGGAGAAGTAACAACCGACACCACAGAAATACAAAAGATCGTTAACAGCTACTATGAACAATTACACAGCAACAAATTTGACAATCTAAGCAAAATGGACCAATTCCTAAAAACACATAGTCTCCAAAAACTGGACCGGGAAGAGACAGAAAACTTGAACAGACCAATAACAACAAAAGAAATTGAAGACGTAATCAAGACTCTCCCAGCAAACAGAAGCCCTGGCCCAGACGACTTCACAAGACAATTTTACCGAACATTCAAAGAAGAACTAATACCCATTCGTCTCAAACTACTTCAAAAAATTCAAGAAGAAGGAAGACTTCCAAACTTGTTTTATGAGGCCAGAATAATTCCAATTCCAAAACCAGAAAAAGACACTACAAAGAAAGAAAACGACAGGTCAATATCCCTGGTGAACACAGACGCCAAAATTCTGAACAAAATACTAGCAAATCGAATCCAGCAATACATCAAGAAAATTATTCACCATGACTAAGTGGGATTCATCCCAGGGATGCAGGGCTGGTACAATATTCACAAATCAATAAATGTGATACACCACATAAACAAAATGAAAGATAAAAATCATACGATCATATCAATAGATGTTGAAAAAGCATTCGACAAAATCCATTTCTGATGAAAATGCTCAGCAATCTGGGAAGAGAAGGATCATATCTCAACATAATAAAGGCCACATATAAAAGACCTACAGCCAACATCATACTCAATGCGTAAAAATTAAAAGCATTTCCCTTAAGAACAAGAACAAAAAAAGGATGCCCACTTTCGCCACTCTTATTTAACAGTACTGGAAGTTTTAGCCACAGCAATCAGACAGGAAGAAAAAATGAAAGGGATCCAAATTGGAAAGGAGGAAGTGAAACTGTCATTATTCGCAGATTACATGATACTATACATAGAAAACCCCAAACACTCCATCAAAAATTTACAAGACTTAATAAATGAATTTGGAAAAGTAGCAGGATACAAAATTAATGTCAAGAAATCAAGGGCATTCTTATACACCAATGATGAACTCACAGAAAGAGAAACTAAAAAAAAACAATCCAATTTACCATCGCAGCAAAAAATTAAGATACCTAGGAATAAAGTTAACCAAAGAAATAAAGGACCTATTTGCAGAAAACGACAAGACATTGAAAAAAGAAATAGAGGAAGATATAAAAAAGTGGAACCACATATCTTGTTCATAAGTTGGAAGTATTAACATTATTAAAATGTCCATACTACCCAAAGCAATCTATATATTCAACACAATCCCCGTCAAAATAACAAAGACATACTTTTACAGAACTAGAACAAATACTTCAAAAGTTCATATGGAACCAAAAAAAGACCCCGAATAGCCACAGCAATCTTGAAAAAGAAGAACAAAGTTGGAGGGATCACATGACCAGATTTAAGGTTATACTACAAAGCCACTATAATCAAAACAGCCTGGTACTGGCACATGAACAGGCAGATGGATCAATGGAACAGAATAGAGAACCCGGGAATGGACCCAAGACAAAATGCTCAATTAATATTTGACAAAGGTGGCAAGAGCATACAGTGGAGTAAAGACAGCCTCTTTAATAAGTGGTGTTGGGAAAATTAGACAGCTACATGCAAAAAAAAAAAAAAAAAAAAAAAAATGAAACTAGACCATCAACTTACACCATACACAAGAATAAACTCAAAATGGGTATAAGACTTAAATGTGACTCATGAATCCATTAAAATCCTAGAAGAAAATGTAGGCAACAAAATTTCAGACATATGGAGCAGAATTTTCACTGAATCATCACTCAAGGCCACAGAAACAAAGGAGAACACATGGGATTACATCAAACTTAAAAGCTTCTGCACAGCAAAAGATACAACCACCAAAATGGAAAGGGAACCCACTCTATGGGAGAGCATAATTGCCAATGATACATCAGATGAGGGGTTAATTTCCGATATATATAGAGTGCTCATATAGCTCAACAAAAGGAAGACAAAGAACCCAATTAAAAAATAGGCAGAGGAACTAAATAGACACCTCTCCAAATAGGACATACAAATGGCTAAGAGACATATGAAGAAATGCTCAACATCACTAATCGTCAGAGAGATGAAATTAAAACAACAATGAGGTATCACCTCACACCTGTCAGAATGGCCACCATCAACAAAGCATCAAACAAGTGTTGACGAGGGTGTGGAGAAAAGGGGACTCTAGTACACTGCTGGTGGGAATGCAGACTGGTGCAGCCACTATGGAAAACACTATGGTGTTACCTAAAAAAATTAAAACTTGAACTGCCCGTTGATCCAGTGATCCCACTTCTAGGAATATACCCTAAGAAGCCTAAAACACCAATCAGAAAGAATATATGTACCCCCATGTTTATAGCAGCACTATTTACAATAGCTAAGATTTGGAAACAGCCCAAATGTCCATCAGTAGACAAATGGATAAAAAAAGCAGTGGTACATATACACAGTAGAGTACTATGCAGCTGTAAGAAAGAAAGATCTCTTATCCTTTGAGACAACATGGAGGGACCTAGAGAGTATTATCCTAAGCAAAACAAGCCAAGCAGAGAAAGACAAATGTTACATGATGTCACTTATTTGTGGAATATAATGAACATAACAGTGTGAGGAATGGGGTAGTCCCAGGGCCGTGGAAGTGGGGTACAGACTGACAATCCCCACAAGAGGGGGAGGGAAGATAAACCACAGAACTTATATGCATGTATGCATGAACAATGGTCATGGACAACAAAGCTGGGGACAGGGTCAAGAGGGAGGGTTATCAGTGGGGTAAAAGGAGAAACATCTGTAACAAAAATAAATTAATTAATCAAATAGAATACTAAAATAATAATAATAATAATAAAATAAAATGAATGTACTATGTCCACTAAAGAAAAAAGGTAGCATGTATAGCCTTACCACTTGCTAATTTCCTAATGGCATTAGGGCTAAAACCTGGAGGTCCCAGGCTGTAGCCACCAGAGCACAACTGCAGATTTCTGGGAACTGGTATCAGGCTGGTTGGTGAAGTGGAGGCCCACTCAGTAGCACCACAAAGGGTTAAAATAGGCAGAGGAACTAAATAGACACCTCTTCTATTATTATTTTAGTCATGGGGACTGTGTTTAAATCTCAGCACTGTCATGCTAGTTGTGAGGCCTTGTTGAAGTAAACTGTACCCTAATGAACTCCATAAACTGGGGATGATGGTGATGCTAGTTGGTGAGGATATAAGGAGAATTTATTTGAAATGCTTGGAATTCAGTCAGTCCACAGGGGATGTTGGCTCTTCTTGTGCCGATGCTGGCTCATCCTAGACAAGGCTGATGAGCTTCTGGGCTCAGACTTTCCCACAGGGCACCAGACAAACAAGAGTACAGGCCAAAGCAGCAATTATGAGCTCAAAGCCCTTCTCTTCTATGTGAAGAACCTTAGCAGATCATCTCTGCACCAGAGGGCCCTGGTGGTTCTAGTGCTATACAATGCACATTTGTTTAATATAAAACTAAAAATATGATTTGCTAAATCATTAAATATTGACTTCAGTGACCTATCTTTTCAGACGTATATATTCACCCTCCTCCTGGAAAGCCTCTTTTGCCTAGCCACAGGTAACTCACACCAGATTCAAAACAGATTCCGGCATCTCCAGATCTTGTTCTTGTGGAGCCTATGAAGGAATGAAACTATTTGTTCCCACCCAATCCTGAGTCCTGCTCACCCTTCATTTTCTTTCTGGCTCTACATTCAGTAGCAAAGTCTGGTGACCCTACCCCTTTAACAATTGAATCTGCCCACCTCCCCCTCCTCTCTGCCATGCCCCTTGTGGAGGTTCACCTGTCATTTACTGCTGGATTTTTTGTCCAGCCTCCTAACTGGCCTCCTACGATCACTCTAGTGCCTCTCCAAACCACTCCATGGTTTGGGCAGAGGGATCTTTCCAACATGCAAAGACGTTTCTGGCTTGCTGTGCTCTCAGAATCAAGTCCAAAGCTTACAAATTCCAAGGTGAAACTTATGAGCCCTTTTATAATCTGCTTTCACTAATTTCCCAGTTCACGCTTTCTCACAAGAATTTAACGAACTTGGAATTCATTTGGAATTTAAAGGAAGAAGGAGCTAGGACTAGTCTGTCTTTGTTGCTTCTGTTTAGAACACATGCACCCTTCCCCTCTTCTGCCTCGCTGAGTGTGCTTCTTACATCTCGGTTTAGATGTTGCTCCCCATCCGGGGAAGCCTTCCCAACCACCTGAACTTATCCGGACGGCAGCACACACCACTAGGCCATCTTCTCCTAGATGCTGCTTGAGTATAAGGGCCCAGTTCTTAGGAGCACAGCTCCCTCCAAGGGGGCACTCGGTACATATTGTCGGCTGAAAGGAGGAAATCTCCTGCTCTTGTCAGAGCATTAGACTGAATTCCTGCAGAAAACATGAAAGACTATTCTAGTTCACACACAGTTAATGCACAAATGGAACTGTTTTGTTCTTTGCAACCTCCGTATGATATCCCAGCGAGTGCTTGGTGGGAACAGTGTCTGGTCAGGACGTGAATGACAGAGGGTTACTGAGAGCGGCTGTCTGGGGTGTGCCCACTCTGCCAGGGGTCCCGATCCTCCCACATGGATGAGCAGTGGTGATGTCCTTTCATACATATGAGGAGACCAAGGTACAGAGGTTCAGAAATACATCCAAAGTTATGTTGCTATTAAATGAGAGAACCTAGGGTTCAAACCCAAGTAAATCTGACCCCAAAGTCTATGCTTTAAAATTATTTAAGCATTTACATTTCAAGTAATAGTTACATTTCAAGTAACCTTATATTTGGGAGGACAGGGTCATCATTTTTGCTTCATAGGGTTGCTAAGGAATTTGTACAATGTTAAGTTTTATTTGTATAATGCTTTTAAATCTTGCTTTAAAATAAAAAGGGAAATCATGACAAAGTGAAAATATGCAGAAGCCATAAATTAAAGGACAAAAAATCTCATTTTTTTATTAACCCAAAATGGAAAAACTTTTTAAACACCATATTCATACATCTGCCAACTGAGTGTCTCCAGCTTCACAGGGAAACAAACAAGTAGGCAGAATGGAGCATGATGGCCTTTTCCCCAAGCACACCCCCATCCTGTCTGCCCAGGTCCAGCGAACCTCCCCACCATATGCTCTGCCCAAACCATAGATAGAGGGGTCATTCAAGACTCCGGAATTCCCCTCAAATCAAACCCTTCCTCTCTAGTTTCTCTTCAGCTGGCCCAGTCAGACTCTCATCACATCCGTTTGGACTACTCAGTTGGTCCTCTGTCCCCTCTTCTGGTCTTCTAATATATTCTGCAGCCATATTGGTTTTGCAAAACTCCAAACTTGATGATATTACCAGTCTAAAACCCAAGGGTTTCCCACACAGAAAGCATGGCTCCCAATTCCTCGATGCTCTCAGATCACCCACTTTTCTTACTCTCCATCAGCTGTTGGCAAACAGCCCTAAACGTTTGGGAAACAAGCTACACTTCAGCCACACCAAACTATGGACAATTTCACTGTGATATGACTGAATACATTTATCCTTGCCCATCCAGTCCTATCCTCTGGGATGTCTTCATCTGTTGTGTGTCTCATAATTTCCTTTTCATTATCCGTGGTCCGTCTAAGGCCTCTCCCAGTGCCCTGTCCTACCTACCCCACTGGGGCTCACTGCCCCAGCCCCTTAGGGCCCTGAAGAGTTGGCTGGGGCTCCATGTCACTCTGCGCCCTAGTGAGTGAGTTTCCTGACAGGAGAGGCCCTGTTTTATTAACTTTATATTCTTAGCACATAGTAAGAAATAATGATTTTATAACTAGAACTACAAGGCACTGAGTTTTGAGATCAACCTAATCTCTTAGATTTTGGAATCGAAAGAACAAAAACTCAGGGATGAAAACCAGCTTGATTTCTCTCATAACTTCTCTGACATTAAAAAAGGACACCCTGGGGAAAACCTGTGAAGCATCGGTATCATGGCAGTGATGCTATCACATAAAATAAAGATACCTATAAACAGATTCTGCGCAGAATAAAAGAATGATTTCATTTAAAGGAATGCTTGTAGGGTATACTACTTTTAAACAGTATTACTAGAAAAATGCATAGACTTCCCCTGTGGAGAATCTGACGAAAGTTACGGATACTTTTTTCCAGAATAATGCACATAATCTTTCACAGATTTCAGAGTGTACTTGGAGCCCATTTGTGGGCCCATGGTCAAAGGAATTTGAATACAGTTGACTCTTGAACAACACGAGGGTTAGGGGCCTTGACCCCATATAGTCAAGAATCCACGTATAACTGTTGACTCCCCAAAACTTGATTAATAGCTTCCTGTTAACTGGAAGCTTTGCTGATAACATAAATAGTTGATTAAAATATATTTTATATGTTGTGCATTATATATTATATTCTTATAATAATGTAAGCCTGGGAAAATAAAATGTTATTAAATAACAAGGAAAATAAAATATATTTCATACTCTAATGTATTTATTGCGGGAAATATGCACAGTTAAAACAAGGGTTGTTCAAAGGTAACTGTACTATGAATAGTAGGTGAGTCATTCTGCATTTTGAAGAAACTCTGTGTCAGGTGACCAAATGCTGAAGAATTACTTTTAACCTTTGCCTCCTGGGACAAAACCTTTTGATAGGTACATACCTCTTTAGGAGAAAGAATAGAAATGTAGTCTTCATATATTATCCTTGCCTTTTCCTCAATAATGCTTTTATTGGCTTCTTTTTTCAGTTCCTCACATGCCATCCAGAAAAGCATATTTTCTTCACTGAATTCCGTTCGGAGGAATTCCCGGAAAGCATTCCTTCCCGCTGGAGTGAGCATTAATTTGTCGAAGGACTGTGCCCAGGTGCTGACCTCTTCCAGAGTAGGAGTTGGGCTTAACAGAAACCAGAAGAAAGGGAAAAAGGGAGCTATGTTAGTGGCAGTTAATTTGCATTTCATCACTAGAAACCTGTCTTTTCCCTCTCTGAGAATGAAAATGTGTACTTATGTCCTTTGAGGAAGGGCAAGAGCTGCTTGTTTCCTTAAGCCTTTCGCAAAAACATGCATTTGATACGTGCAAATTGTTTAGCTGGATTGCATGGCTACTGCCCAAATGCTTGCAAGCCAAATTCTAGAATAACTGCTGAGCCCATACTTGTTTACATCTAGGCACATCCTGGAAAAGTTTTTAAATTACAGAAGTAAAGAAGAATCCTATAATCATCTCTGTAAAAACTCCCCAGTCACATGACAGACTAAGTCAGCCCTGACCACACTGACTTCCAGAATAGCAATGGGGCCGTGTCTATTTAGGGTTTTTTTTTTTTCTTTTTTAATCCTCACCCAAGGACATTTTCACATTTATGTTCAGATAGAGCGGGAGGGAAAAAGAGAGGGAGAGAGAGAGAAACATCAATGTGAGACAGACACATCAAGTGGTTGCCACCCACATGACCCCAACTGGGGCCGGGGACAAACCGCTACGGAGATACATGCGCCTAGGGGGAAACAAACACAGGACTCTCCGGTCCGCGGGCCGATGCTCTAACCACTGGGCAAAACTGGCCAGGGCTAGTATTTTTTAAAACTCAAAAGAGAATTTTAAAGTGGAGAAAAGAATGTAAGTTATACAACTGTAGGTTATGAAGGGTGACAACAAAAACGGGTATTTATGAAATCATCATTTACCTTACGAACCAGGCCGTCATCAGCAGCTGTGTTCGTCTTGGTGCTGTACTCACACACTGCTCTCTGACCCCAGCCCTGAGGGAACCACTCTTCTGGATTTTGGGTTTTCCCTGTTCTAGCTGACTTTTCACTTACATTCCATTATATTGAGGTCCGAAAACACAGACAGATCAGTGTCTGTTTAACAATGATCTTTATTTTTTTTTTTGCCTTACCCTTTTCCCCTTAGTTTCTATGTATGTATGTATTCCTGAACAATATATTATTTTAATTCTTTTTCCTTTTTATTGATTTTAGAGAGAGACGAAGGGAGAGGGAGAGAGATAGAAACATTGATGAGAGAGAACAACGATTGGCCGCCTCCTGCGTGCCCCCCACTGGGGATTTGGCCCACAACCCTGGCATGTGTCCTGAATGGGAATTGAACCAGTAACCTCTTGGTGCATGGGTCGATACTCGACCACTGGGCCACACCGGGCGGACTTATTTGAATTGTTTTAAAAACTTTATAAAAATAGCTTCTGAAACTTGCTTTTTTCACCGTACACTGTGTCTAAGATTCACCCATGCTGCGCTATGTCTCCAGAACAGAGTTCCTGGCCAGGATTCATCTCTAATTTTCCATTCTTGTACTGTCCTTGGATTTTGGTATCACTGTTACACTGGCCTCTTAGACACTGGGGTAGTCATACAAGACTTGTTTAACCTTAGAATGATCAATTCCTGAAATGTTTTATGTAATTAATCTGTAAAACCAACTAGATCTAGTGTTATTTTGTAGGAAGGTATTATTGGGTTGAATTGTGTATCATAAAAAAGACATGCTGAAGTCCTAGCCCTCAATATTTCAGGATATGACCTTATTTGAAAATAGATCTTTATAGACTTAATCAAGGTAAAATGAGGCAACTGGAGTGAGCCCTAATCCAATATGAGCGGTTTTCTTACAAACAGACAGGCACACAGCAAGGGAAGACAATGTAAAGATACACAGGGAAAAGACAGTCATATAACTGGCAAGAAATATCTACAAGATGAGTAATGCCAAGGATTGCTGGCATCTTCCAGAGAAGCCAGTAGAAGCAACGAAGGATTCTCCTCTAGAGCCATCAGATAGTATGGCCCTGCCGACACCTTGATTTTGGACTTCTGGACTCAAGAAATGTGTGCACTTCTGGCCTCAAAAAATTAAGAAAAAAATAAAACAGAGAGATCCCATGTACCATTTGCTGCCCCATTCCCCCCATCACAGTAGCTTACAAAACCATAGTACAACTTCATAGTCCTCCCAAGTGATGCTGACAGTTGAAATCTGCTTACTTGTTTTTGTGATTCCATCTTTAATTGGTTAAAGGTTTCTGAGACAATTATTTTATATTTTATTATTAACACATAACATCTTTAGTCCTTTGGGCTCTAAATCCAAGTATTGTCTCTACTTACTGTAATTTGTGGTGAGTTGTTTCCTTTCAGTTTAATGATTATTGGTTGGTCTTAATCTTTGGCAAAGTGAGAGTTGAAACTGAGGATGTTGATAAAGACACGACAAAGAAAGAAAACTACAGGCCAATATCCCTGATGAACACAAATGCCAAAATCCTTAACAAAATAGTAGCAAATTGGATCCAGCAATACATCAAAAAAATTATTCAACATGACCAAGTGGGATTCATCCCAGGGATACAAAACTGGTACAATATTTGCAAATCAATAAATGTGATACACCACATAAACAAAATGAAAGATAAAAACCATATGATAATATTAATAGATGCTGAAAAAGCATTTGACAAAATCTAGCACCCATTTCTCATATAAACGCTCAGTAATGTGGGAATAGAGGGATCATATCTCAACATAATAAAGGCCATATATGAAAAACCTACAGCTAACATCATAATCAATGGGCAAAAACTAAAAGCATTCCCGTTAAGAACAGGAGCAAGACAGGGATGCCCACTTTCACCACTCTTATTCAACATAGTACTGGAAGTCTTAGCCACATCAATCAGACAGGAAGAAAAAATAAAAGGGATCCAAATTGGAAAGGAGGAAGTGAAATTGTCATTATTTGCAGATGACATGATATTGTACATAGAAAACCCTAAAGACTCCATAAAAAATCTACTAGTTAATAAATGAATTTGGCAAAGTAGCAGGATATAAAATTAACCAATGGCATTCTTGTACACCAATGATGATGAACTCACAGAAAGAGAAACTAAAAAAGCAATTCCAGTTACCTTTGCAGCAAAAAAATTAAGATACCTAGGAATAAACAAAGAAGTAAAGGACTTCTTCACAGAAAACTACAGTCATTGAAAAAAGAAATAGAGGAAGATATAAAAAAGTGGAAGCATATACCTTGTTCATGGATTAGAAGAGTTAACATCATTAAAATGTCCATATTACCCAAAGTAATCTTTAAATTCAATGCAATCTCCATCAAATTACCAATGAGATATTTCACAGAACTAGAACAAACACTTCAAAATATCATATGGAACCAAAAAAGACCCCAAATAGCCACAGGAATCTTGAAAAAAAAAAAAAGAACAAAGTAGGAGGGATCACATTACCAGATTTCAGATTATACTACAAAGCCTCTGTAATCAAAACAGCCTGGGCCCTGGCTGGTTTGACTCAGTGGTTAGAGCGTTGGCCTGCAGTCCGGAGAGATCCGGTGTTCACTTCCCACTAAGGGCACGTACCTCGGTTGCAGTTTGTCCCCAGCTCTGGTTGGTCGTGCGGGGTGGGCAGCCACTCAATGTGTCCCTTTCACATCGATGTTTCTCGCTCTCTCTCTTCCTCTCTCTCCCTCCCACTCTATCTGAACAAAAAAAAAAGGAAAAATGTTCTCAGATGAGGATAAAACAAAACAAAACAAAACAAAAATAAACAACCTGGTACTGGCACAAGAACAGGCAGACAGATCAATGGAACAGAACAGAGAACCCAGAAATTGGCCCAAGACAATATGCCCAATTAATATTTGACAAAGGTGGCAAGAGCATACAGTGAAGTAAAGGCAGCCTCTTTAATAAATGGTGTTGGGAAAATTGGACAGCTACATGTAAAAAAATGAAACTAGAACATCAACTTACACCATACAGAAGAATAAACTCAAAATGGGTAATAAACTTAAATGTAACTCCTGAATCCAAAAAATTAAAAAAAAAAAAAAAGTTAGACAACAAAATTTTAGACATCATATGTAGCAGAATTTTCACTGATACCACACCTAAGGCAACAGAAACAAAGGAAAAAATTAACTCATGGGACTACATCAAACTCAAAAGCTTCTGCGCAGCAAAAGAAACAATCATCAAAATGGAAAGGGAACCCACCATATGGGAGACCATAATTGCCAATGATAAATAAGAAATTAATTTCCAAAATATATAGAGTACTCATACAACTCAACAAAAGGAAGACAAAGAACCCAATTAAAAAATAGGTAGAGAACCTAAATAGACACCTCTCCAAACAGGACATACAAATGGCCAAGAGACATAGAAAAAAATGCTCAATGTCACTAATCATTGGAGAGATACAAATTAAAACAACTATGAGGTACCACTTCACACCTGTCAGAATGGCTGCCATCAACAAATCATCAAACAACAAGTGTTGGCGAGGGTGTGGATAAAATGGGACTCTAGTACAATGCTGGTGGGAATGCAGATTGGTGCAGCCACTATGAAAAACAATATGGGCCCTAGCCGGTTTGGCTCAGTGGTTAGAGCATCGGCCTGTGGTCCTGAGAGACCCGGGTTCGGTTCCCGCTAAGGGCATGTACCTCGGTTGCAGTTTGTCCCCGGCCCTGGTTGGGTTGTGCGGGTGGCAGCCACTTGATGTGTTCCTTTCACATCGATGTTTCTCTCTCTCTCTGTCTCTCTCTCTCCCTCCCACTCTACCTGAACAAAAAATGGAAAAATGTCCTCGGGTGAGGATAAAAAAAAAAAGAAAAAAGAAAAACAATATGGTATTACCTCAAAAAGTTAAAACTTGAACTGCCATTTGACCCAGTGATCCCACTTCTAGGAATATACCCTAAGAAGCCTGAAACACCAATCAGAAAGAATATGTGTACCCCCATGTTCATAGCAGCACTATTTACAATAGCTGAGATCTGCAAACAACCCAAGTGTCCATCAGAAGATGAGTGGATAAAAAACCTATGGTACATGTACACAATGGAATACT